CATTGTAACTGGATAGCAAAGAGGACGATCATCACATTGTGGATGTTCAACGCAGATCGCGTTAGATTGAAGACATGAGTTGTCTGCTGGCCTCCGATTGCGAATTTTCAAAAAAATAGGAATCCTTAGAGGATTATTTTTGTGTAAAAATAGGATTTTCCATAAAAAATGGCAAAAATATAGGTATGTATTATTTTTGTGAAAACATATAGTTTTGTTAGTTTTATTACTCCATATTTTTCCTTTGATAGAATTAGAACAAACGATCACACTTTACTTACAGTTGCTTAATTCTTTGCTATCAAAATAATCATATAAATCAAATGGCGTTTGAAATTTCGATTATAATGTAGTTTATTCACATTTCAGTAAATAACAAAAAAAGAAGTAAAACGTAAACTTTCAAAAATAAATAGCGAAAAAGCAAACAAATACTTTTCTCATAATTAAATCTGATGAATAAATAAATGCTTATTTAACCCTTTGATTAAGGAATTTTTATTTAGAATAAAATGGTTTTTTTATCATACAAAATGCTAAAATAAACTTTCTTGTTATATTTAACCCTTTCAGGACCAATTTTGCTTTTATCTTTTTCACATCGGTGTGTCATTCATAAACTATCTCTTTGATGGCGATCTCAGAAAAAAAAATTATTTCTGAAAGGGCTGGGTCTCCCTTCAGATAGGTGGTACAACAAATGTGCCACGGTCCTGAAAGGGTTAAGCACTTTTAGAAATGTATCAAAATGTAGTAGTCAGCACATATATATATATGTGACACGTAATCAAAGGGTTAGAGAGCCCATGTAAACATGAAACGCAGAATAGACGCGTATAATCGCGTTTCTTATTCAAAATCGCAGTGAGACGCGGTTAGAACTGATTTTTCCTGCGTTTAGACGCTTCTGTATGAACAAACGCGTCCAAACGCAAAAACGAAATAGTTTTATTTTGCGTTTAGACGCGATTATACACGCGATCGCTTATAGACGCAGCTTAAAGAAGTTTCCAATGCGTCTGAACGCGAAGGCCAACCAAATCGCGTTTACAAGCGTTGATAAAGTCTTTTGAAATGCGTTTACAGGCGGTCGCATATGTAAACGCGTATGCACGCATGTACAGAACATCGTCGAACGCGTTTGAACGCGGTTGTAACTTAAACTGCGTTAACACGCAGTTGATAAAGGCTGTTGAAATGCGTTTGCATGCAACCGTATATCTGATCGCGTCTATACGCAGGTATACAAAATATTCAAACG